TCTGTTTGTGAGTTTGAAGCTTCCAAATAAAAACAAAGTTTCGCTGGAAAATCAATCGACTGACCATCTCCGTATCGAAAACAAAATTTTAAACTGTGATAAGACAAAGAGTAATAAAAAATCAAAACAAGCCGCCAACTTGCCAAATTACTGAAAACTTTCTTATCGTGTCACATTTATAAGGAGCTTAAGAGGTCGTTGGGGTTTTACTGTCTACGTGGCAGAAACCGAAACAATTCGAGATGAAAAAAATCGGGGGAAATTTCGCCGGGAAATTATGTCCTAGCTGCAGTTTCCGATCGTTGCAGTTTTCCGTAATGCAGTCTGCATTATCGGACGAGTGATCGCCCTCTCATCCCTAATACCGATTAATTTTTTCAGCGCCGCAGTAAATCCCGATTTTTTCCTAATGAATTCAGAAGACGTAAGTGTTGCGAAATTACGTTGTTTTGTAGTTTGCGACATTTCGCTACATTGAACCGAGAATTTTGCATTCAAATTGTCACAGTTGCGCGAATTTAGTATAGTGTAGCTTTGCGATTTTACATATTAAAGGGATATCGCCGTGCGAACACTCCACTATTTCGATCTAAACTCGCTAATAAAAGTTCAGAGGATAAAACGCCCTGTTTGGTCAATAACGTTCAACGAAGTTGCTTTTTAGTCCATGGAAAAAAAACGATTTTTTCTTAATTTTATCAGTTTTATGACATGAAAATCCGGAGTGACAAATTTTAGGTCGTCAAATAATCAACAAATGGGAGCTTTTTAGGCTAATACTTTCTGCTTCAGAGTTCTTCTTGGAATGGTGAAGCGAAAGGAAAATTGAATAAATTTGCAAACAAGAGCAAAGACCGAATTACTATTTCAGCAGAAATATATTTTTTGGTTTATGACCAAAACAAAATAACAGTAGAAAATTTACAACATAAATAAAAACAAACTTTAGATTTTTTCAGTTTCTGTTTTATTTTTATATTTTTAACTTTTAAAAGCAGGTATAGATAAAGTTAATACAAAAAATGTTTTTTTAATCATGTTATTAATACGTTATGTTATTTATTATTTATTTATTTATCCTTAATAACATTCTAAATATCTAAAAATTACAGTATTTGTGAATATTTGAATAGCTTTTGTTGTAATAATTGGCCTCACACCTCAAACCAAAAATAAATTTTGATTTGACAAGTAGACATATTTTCCCTCTTTTGTCCATTTCTAAAACTATCTTTCTTGCTGATTGTTTGGATTATTACAACAGGAATGAAATTTCCTGTCTCTCTTACTAAAAGTGTCAAAGAAAAACACAACACTGAATGCCTAAAATACAAAAAATGTAAAATTTTGATTTCTTAAAAAAAACCTAAAATATTTTTTCGATATTTGAGTGATTTGAAATAATTTTTGTAGTGTATCCCTTATAAACAAAGCTTTCTTTTAGTGGAAAACTAGATGTTTGTGCCCTCTTGCGACGATTCGTTGAGATATTTCTCCTGCTGAACGTGGACGCTGTAGCAGGAACAAAATTTCCTGCGACTTCTACCGACAACTTGCCAAACCCGCTGAAAGCTCGCCGTGCGGCAAGAATTACAGTTTGACCCGCTACGGCTAGGTGGCAGTGTGTTCTTATGCTTGTTTGAATAAAAAGCAATGTTTAATTGTACAAAAATTGGAAAAAATAAATTCCTCGTTTCCTGTCCCCATTTTTTGCTTTTCCCCATGAAAAATTCCGGGCGGCGCCTTTGATTTATTTCGGTTTTTTACGGCGCTAACCAAAATTAGTTCAAAGAGCATGTTTATAATAAAAGTGATTTAGAGCCAGCTCGATACATTTTTGATGTTCTTACCACAAACAATAAAATTTTTTGGGAGCGCGTGATGTGAATTTTTAATCCGCATAAAAATTCTTTGCGTTCACGATGAAAAAAGTTTTTCACAGATGTTTGTTCAAAGAAACTTATTTGCTCATTAGGTTTTTTTGGATATGTTCCCTGCTTATTATAACGCTGGGATTCTTCTAAGGTATGAAAGGAATGATGAATGCCACTTAATTACTTACTAATGTTGATTACATTCAAGAATAATTATGAAATTACAAGACACTATCTTATACACTGGATGATTAATTACATGTCAACGTCTTGCGATTAAAATTAATATTGAGTTTAGAGAAGTTTTTTGTAAAGGTCGAAGCGTTGACTTGACAGTTTTCTCGTGCAAATTTCACTTGATTCAAAAATAAGTTTTATGCAAGAATACAAAATGAGAAAAAGCCTGCAACAAGTCTTTTACATTTGCTTAATGCCTGCAACGTGTACACAGAAATTCCTCGAGTGTTTTCTGACAAAACGGGGCCGTATTTTAGGAACAGGTGATTCCAATAAACAGGAACGACACGATATATGAAGAATTTTCTTCTGCAAGTCGAATACAAATTTTTCTTTGAAAAACAACAAATCGCGGTTAGAAAATTACAATTTCAAATTTTACGCGTACAGATTGATCTCTTGGATGTCTATAGGTGCCATAAATGGCGTCGTTTGTGCCGCAACAATGGCTTTGTTGCCATAAAATAGAATTTTAAATTAAGCTCGGGATGGGCCCTCGGAGAGGCGGCTTGGACTCACAAAATGCAAAAATCGTACGCGTTTTGTCCAAGAATGTCAGTATTAAGAGACTCGCAATAGAAATTTTACGACCGTTTTATTTAACTTTATTAAAATCTATCGAACATAATAACAGTTTTCGGATGACGGAAACTCGATTTTATCTTTGCTAAATCCGATGAAATGCAAAAACAGATTGATCGGCGAAGACAGCAATGAAACTGAGCACTTCAGAAACAGTCATTATACGACTTTATACGCTCGTAAAAATGAGTTTTCCCAAAAGTTTAGTTTTAATACGAGACAATGACGACGTAAATAAACAACTTACAAGACAGGCAGGTCCTAAAATGCTTCATTTTATCGGATTAATTTACACCACCAAAAAATAAGCATTTCCATTTTTTGCAAAATTTTAATTTTCGACGTCTGATTGTGTGTAAAACTTTACGGAGAAAACTCGCAACAATCAGAACTTTGGCCATAAAAGTGCTCACGGTAAAATCTTGAATGTTTTGGATGCATCAATAGGAAATATCTTGTTACGGGCCTGTCGACATAAAAGATTTTACCCGAATTTAAATCAAGTAGTGGAGAAAAAAGCCGTTCTTGTGTTATTCCATTCCGAATTCTAGCAACGTCATTGATTTTAAAGAATCTGAAATTGGCCCCGAAAAAATATTCGACTTTAATTTCTTATCGATTTATCGAAGCTGTAATTCGAGATGGTGTTTGAGTGGTGTTAAGTTAGTTGAGACAAATGGACAAGTGACCCTTGTGACCTCGTGATACTTCCCCCCGACATGGATCAGGGTTAAGGCAACACAATTTCACAGGGCGTCAAAAAAAAAAGTCATGTCGTGACAACTTGACAAATTTTATATCAATTTGTTCGTTTCAGTGAGACAAATCAAATGCACTAAATTTTTTTTTTAAACCACACACTTTGAACTAAATAATTTTTTTCTAAGTTAAATGAATTTAAAATACTTTAACTTTAAAAAATCATTACTCAATAACTATTAGGCCGATTTCCTTTAAATAAAGACCATTGTAAAGGGATGGCCTTGCCCTTTAGAATGATATAAAATTTGAAATTGAATATTGGCAAACTTCGAAGTTCGAAGTAAATCGAAGTAATCTAAGAAAAACCCTACGAGTAATTTTTTTTTTCTTCGTCACCATCGTGTAGAGCATCTTTTTATTAGTAGAAATCCAAATTTTTAAAATAATATACCGAGTAATGCATGTTTATCTTACTTAAAATTGCATTTTTATAAAAGTATTTATTTTAAGACTTTTCTTTTGCTTAAAAATGGTCAATTGCGCCTTCTTTGTTCTAATTAGAATAAACAAAAACTGGTTGTTTACTTAAAACAAACATAGAGTACCTACGTACTAATTAAAGCAAATAAAGAGTTTTTTGTTTTAAAAATGACCACTGATTATTGAGCAAAGAGGATCTAGAAGTTTAAGGCACGAACCTTAAATATAAAGGCAAATCTTTTTCAAATCAAATCACTTTCCATTCAGATTTCGACTTGTTCACTTTGTTCTAGCTTTCTGAACTTTTTTTGAAAATGTTCTGAGCAAATACTTTCTCATCACTTTCGAGTGATGTTAAATGCAATAAGTCACCTGATCTATTTTTATTGGTACATTCTAAGATCAACTTCAGTTAGCTTGTAGGTAGTAGTTGTGATAACAGTTGTACACGAAGCAACCGATTTATTTCATTCAACATTAGTAAAAAGTGAGAAAGCATTTGCTGAGAACATTTTCAAAAAAAAAGTTCAGAAAGCTAGAACAAAGTGAACAAGTTGGAATCTGAATGGAAAGTGATTTAATTTGAAAAAGATTTGTTCTTATATTTAAAGCTACTACTTTAAACTTCTAGATCCTTTTTGTTCAATGATCAGTGATCACTTTTAGAACAAAAAAACTCTTTATTTGCTTTAATTAGTACGCAGGTACTCTTTGTTTGTTTTAAGTAAAGAACCAGTTTTTGTTTATTCTAATTAGAACAAAGAAGGTGCAATTGACCATTTTTAAGCAAAAGAAGATATAATATTTGTGAAGTTGTCACCACATGACTTTGTTTTTGTCGCCCTGTGTTCTTATAAAAGACGTAATAATAATTAGTTCTTGTTTGGTAAATGTGTTTCCACTGGATCAAAAAACGAGCTAAAAATTCCGAAACATCTTTGCATGTTAACAAGGCTCTTGCACGTGCAGAGATAAGCCTGCAGTGTGTCCATCGGTCCTAATTTATGTAGTGGAGGTAATGCGCTTAATTGGTACATGAACGGCACATTCCTGCGGAGATTGTGTCGTGCAATATGGCGCACCCATTCTAAAAATACATCAATGTTTGTGGAATTTTTTCGGTACCTGCTGGGTAGACGGGTGGTACGTGGAACTTGAATGCAGCAGGAGCGACGAGTTGAGAGCAGGAAAGCTGGAAGCCGTGGTTGACAATGTGGACGAGAACAGCGCACGTCGCCACGATCCAACCCCAACCTCCTTCGGGGTAGTAGTGGCGGCATAATAAACGCCGAGCCTGAATCTAACAGAGCCATATTGAGGCCGCTTCTAGATTGATTATGTCACGGGAAGCAATTGTGTGGAGAAAATGGACGATAAATTTTTAAAATAAAATTCTTCACACAAGCTTCTCTTTTTTTTCCAACCTGCGAGGTTCTTGCAGCGGCCTGTCGGGCATCCTCCACCGGAGCCGCTCCGGAGAGTAGAGGCCAACTTTGAGCGCGCGATAGCGAAGACATCGTTTAATAAAACTGTGGCAAAATTGTCCTGCTTTTGTCCTTATCATGACATCGCACTGTTTTCACTACATGCATCCCTCACTGATATTTTTTTTAAAGAAAAGTTGGCTTGTATGGCTGTGACAGTTTTTCCAGCTTTTGTAATTAATCTGCTACTTTTTCATGACAAAACATTAAGTTCCTGTAGACATTCACTTTAATGTTGCAAAAAGTCAAATTTTCGGAAAGCGAAAGATCATTTATCACAGTTTCATATCTCTTACGCCCATTTAGCGATTCGTGCTGACATGCCGTCATTAAAAGCGACGCTAAATCAATTTTCGACACGATTCGATACAATTAAAATGTAAGAATTTTTTGGGAGAGAATGCAAATTGACAATTCGTTGCGGTGGCTATATAAGGAAGGGTCTGTGCCCGAATTCGGGTCCAGACTGAATTACCGGAGCGTTTATGCATTCATGATTTTATCGAGAGCGATTGATCGGTCAATCCATCCGAAAATGACAGACACTGGATGGACAAGAGATTCGATAAGCAGAGAAATTGCACAAAATTTCAAAGAAGGTGGTTAGTTTTTTTTTAAATAAGTTGTCGGCATTCTATTCTATTCTATGAACTCACAAAGTTTTCAGTAATTTTTGTGCGTTTTTGTTCACTTTTTACTACAAAGCACTTTTAGTTTTCCAATTAATTTTTCAAAAACTTGGTATTTGTGTTCTTTTGTAAGCCATCTCAAAAAACCGGAAATCCAGGTTGAAGTTTTAACTTTTGGTTCAAGTTTCATTTTTATTTTCTAATGGTCTATGAACCTAAAGTAAATGCCAAGTTTTTATATTTGTAGTGAACTGATTAAATATTTTGTAATAGAGATTGAGGTGAGTAATAATACAAGCAAAAATAATAAAAGTAAAATTACTTAACACTTACAAAAAGCAACAAAAATTATTTTTAAAAAAGTAACAAAGTTTTATCTATGTACTAGAGTGTAAAAAAATACATTTTTTGAATGTGTGAGATATGTATACAGGGTGATTCTTAAATAGACCGACAAAATTTTATCCTTGGTAGTATAAAATAAGAACATGCTGGAAAAAATATTTAAAAAATTCTTTGTTTAAACGTTCTTCAAACAAAATTTATTAAAGTTATTTTCGAAGTAAAACGTCCGCCACTGATGTTTTCGCACAGATAGTGGAAACCATGGTATTAACGTACTTGATCATTGCAACAATTCATAAACGCCGTAAGTGGCACGGATCAAGGGGGTTTTGCCCCTAAAAGGTATAAACATAAAAATGGTACAGTTTGTTTCCATTTATCCTTAGGAAGCTGTGATACAATTTTGTCGGTCTATATAAGAATCACCCTGAATGTAAAAAATAAAATCAACAATATAAACACTTCATGCTTGGATTAAAAATAAATTCAGAATAAAAAATCAAAATTTATACCCAAGGTAATTGTCTTTTTTTGTATTTTCAGTGGATTGCAGTTAGTCTATTAGAAATATTGTAAGAAATGAAGTTTTCCAGTATATTTAAGACTCAAAAAATTGTCACAAGTCTCAAAAATGTTTAAAAATTTGGAAAAAAACCTTGGTTAAAAAAGGCTCACATTTCATCTCTTTCATCTAAGGGAATTATTTTTTAAGACAGAGTAAAACAATAATGATTTAATAAAAAAACTTTTTTCATTTTTTTTTGTTACACTTTAGTCGAAATTAAATTTACTAGACGTAAAAATATACGAACAGTTTTTAGTCGAAAATTACAATTTTTTTTAAATTATGCGATTTTCAAGAGAAACAATGACAAAGTATTGAAAAAGTTGATAACTGATAGAAATATGAATTATAATTTTGAAAACCTGAAAATAGAAAATAACGGGAGATTTCGAAATACATAATTATACGAAATTGTCAAAAAGTTCTAAAGTTGGTTCAGTTTGGAGTTATAAAAATTGAAAAAATAATCTTTGGTATTTTGTACTCTTTCAAAAATAATTAATCTAGATTGGATTTTTTTTGGTTCAAGTTTCATTTTGTATTCTCGTAATGACTTATGAAACTAAAACTGTGTTGACCTCAGAACAAAAAAAATCCTCCACAATTATATTAAGTATTTTTTTAAAGTTTTAAAAAATAATATTTTATCCAAAGCTTTATTATAAATTAATTAGAAGTTTGTAAAACTTCCAAATAATTGACTCTGAGTTTTACGGAAAACTTATTAATTAGATCTACAAAGAATTGTGAGACGTGATAAACTGCACAAATTTTCAAAGGAGGTTCTTTGTTTTTTAAAATAAGTTGTCGGCATTCTATTCTATTCGATGACTTCATAAATATTTCAGTAAATTTTGTGTGTCTTTGTTTATTTTTCATTATGAAGCACATTTTTTTTAGATTAATTTTTCAAAAACTTGGTTGCTGGCTTAGCGCCTCAGAGTTCAAAGAGATTACTCCGCGGTTTTTGTTGCCTATTAATTCCGGGCATATTTGGCCCCGAGTGCATAATTAGCGAAATGCCCGAGTCATTGGTTTGCATAACAAGACGAACGATCCGCATTCATTTAATTTAGAAGTTGTCAGCAACACCATCAATTCTCGTGTGATGTGACGTCGGGCGGTGCGTAAAATCACCTGGATGTGTTTATCAAACCAGTCGCAATTACCAAACCCCTCGTTAATTATCCACCACCAGTTGCATGATGTTTATGATCCGCACCTGATGTGCACTTTTTATTCCGTATGAAATAAAATCGAAAAGGACAACGAACTCGGATGAGTTATAGACAATTAAAGAACGGTGTTAGGAAGACGCCAAAAAGAAAAAATGCGAATTTCGATAAGGAGTGCAACGGGAAATAAAATCGTAATGCACTAAGCCGGATTTACGAGCAAGACTCGACTAATCCTGTTATATTGTGGCTTCCATAAAGCAAATATCTTTATAATTTCGACGTGGTTTATCTTTCTTAAAAGGTGGGCAACAAAAATGCGGTCCGCGAACGTGGTCTTCCGGTAAATAAATTACGAACATGACGTGAACCGGCTCAATTCGCAATTAACACAAGAGCCCCAGGAAACAATCAGGGAGAAATATGCACCACTTTAATCAGCTATGCATTTCTCATGAGAAATGATGAATTTTTCTTAATAAGAAAACATATCAACTAGAATTCTAGACTCCATTTTTCAGATAATAAATAAAAATCTCTGTTGAATAATAGCATTTGTCGAAATTAAAAAAAAAAAAATACTGGGCAATTTTCTTCTTTAAATCCCTATCAGATTTTTCTTTGTCAGACTTCTGTTCTTGGAGTAAAAGGCACTGTTTTACAAAAAAATGTTTGTGTATTTTTTGTATGCTTGTTTTCTTTTATCCAAAATAAACGAATTTACAATGAAATATCCCACAGATGCCAAATAAAGAAGAATTTTCAATTTTGTCATACCTAATAATATTTTTTTATAATATTAACTGTAATTTACCTCTTAGTTAGATTGAGGCAAGAGCTCATTGAGCGGAGGCATATGAAAACACCAAACGACCTTTTAATTGTGTTTAATTTGCAAAACAAACATTACAAAATTTGTAACAGTTCCCACACTCTAAAACCCTTAATTAGCTACACAAAGCACCCTTAATTATACCGTACCTGGAGCAATTTATTTAAATTAAATTCAAACATTCCTCCCACCGTAAAACTAATTTTTTGATGTAACATTTGTAAAAGAAAAGTGTTTATTTTCATTTTGGCTTTTCTGTCCCGATGAAAAATCTCCAAGTCTATAAGTATCCCAATTGTTTTTTCTGACTAAAATTAATAATTACAACAACAAAAATAATATTGTATTAATGAACTAGCCTCGTTAATTATTAATTGGATAATAACGCCCAGTACCAAAATTTCAGCAAAAAAAACTAACGTCCAAACAAATGCATCCATTGCGTAATTTGGTAAACCCACACGTAACACAATGAGCATTAAAAATGTAAACATCTGTAAAAATTGTACATAAAGGGCGAGCAAACCGGCCGAAAGACATTCATTCAAAGACTCTGCAGCTTTACAAAGGCGTTGGTGTAGATGAGACAGTAACACAATTCTTCGTTTCACATAAATTTTGCCAAAGTTATGAAAATTTAATTCACTTATTTGTTGATTAATTAAAATGAATCGATTCCAAATAGTGACACTGAACAGACAGAATAAAAATAAGGAAGCCTGATTCGTGAGAAAAGGAATTCCAAAAGAAAAGTACTCCGCAATTATTAATATTGCGCTTCTTTCTATTAAGAAGTGAGCACACGGAAAAATAGGATGTAAAATGTAAACTACAGCGACAACCGATCTGTATTTTTGCATGAATTTGTATGAGATTTTGACGCCGATTTGGGAGAGCGTTTTATCAGCACTCTCTAAAATTTCAAGTGTTTGAAAAAATTGACTGATTTTACGAGCAAAAGTAATTGTGATTATTGCAGAATTAAATACGAACTGGACCAAAATACCAACATAAAGAGTTTTTTCCAGAATGTCCCATTCTTGTTCTTCTCTTACTTGAAATATCACCATTCCAAGTCCAAAAATTGAAACAATAGTGGAGACTAAAAAATAATTTGATTGTTTTATCGAATATAGATGTACTTACAAATGGGGAAAAAATATTTTTTTGAAGTTTTATGGTGTGTATAAACATAAAAACCATCTTGATTTTTTCGTCTGGAATAAGGTGCTAAACCATTAATTTTCAATATGAAATAAATCGGATCCAAAACGTTGTAAACGTTTATGAATGTCATAATTGTATTAACCTGAAACTGTAATAATCTCTAGATTAATTGTATTAGATAATGCAAATAACTTAGAAGAAACGATAACATCGAATTAAAAAAACTAATACAATGTTGCATTAGGTATGATTAATTTTATTAATTTTACACTAGAACGCTTTCGCAAATGATTAATTTTCATTGATGCAGCAATTAATTACAAGACTACATTTTTCGCATCGTTTAAAACCATAAATGGAAATTGTAAATAAAACAAGTTACACGTGACTTAAAATGTTGATCTCATCACCTTTTCGATTTAAATACCTGTATTTAGAACTAGCCGGGGTTGGCTTATGTTTCAGACTGGTTTTTCGGGTAGAGATTGATTGATGGAAGTACACATTATTTAATTGAAGAAGAAAATGTCAAATGTAATCATAATTACGCTTAATGGATGATTTTTGTTCGATGAAATAAAAGAAAGAATCAGGTAAGTAATTTTTCAAAGGTAGTGAGTAATTAGTGGCCTGAAAAATAGAAATCTTTCCAATTTTTAAAATCATGCCATTTTCAATAGGAAGAATAATAAACTATTAAACAACAAAAATTGGTGATTGTTTGCGCAAAATGAATTGAAATTTTGAAATCTGAAAACAGGAATTGACGGAAAATTCGAAATATGCGAATTTGTTTGGAGTCTCAAAACCTTTGTATGTAGGTATATAAAAAATTAGAAAAGTGGTATTTAGTATTTTTTGTTTTTTTGAAAGCCGTTTCAAAAAAATCGAAGTTCCTCTTTGACTAGGTTAATGTTATAAAATTTGTGTAACTAATATTCTTTGAACTACTTTGAACCCAAAGTAAATGCAAAGTTTTTAAATTTTTTGTAGCAAATTAATTAAATATTTTGTAGAAAAATAAGAACAATATCATAACAATAATAATACTTATTAGTTTGATTGAATAAAAATGTTAAAAGTATATAAATAAATTTTCTTGCGTTGGTCTACTTAACTCTTACAAAAAATCACTAAAATTGTTTTTCGTAAAGTAACAAAGTTTCATCTATGTACTAGAATGCAAAATGCTTATAATATGTACATTTCAGT